ACTCCATGGGTGAGTCTGCTTTGTACCACAGGTGGGGAATCATGTAATTATGATGTGGAACAACTATTCTAAATGCAAATGAGGAAGAATACATTACAGATGAAATTATGTGAATGGCACACAGGAAAGAGAGAAGCATCAAACCTCATTTTCACATGGGGCTCTATCCCCGGAGACACAGTTTGATAATGTATTATTGGACCGTCCTTGAAAAAAAAAGTATATGGATGTCTAAAACACAGAGATGGCCACATCCAAAAAACCAGGCTCATACCTTATTGTACACATAACAGATTACCATAGGTCTCTATTTTACTCCAAAGAGCCTGTAACATCTATATAAATAAAAATAAAAGCTCATATAAATTTTAGTGCTAATGCCAAAAATGCAACAGGTCTTCATCAAAAGAATAAAAAGTAGTAATAAAAACCCAATGATGCTAGATCATATTGTTTCATGAAATCTGTTATGTTTAGTTACTTCAGTCACAATCTTGATGCCATATTTCAGATGGATTGTTAATCAATTTTCTTCCTCCTTTAGCTCTTTAATGAAAGGCAAAAATAGACACTAGAATTTAACCTAATCTAATATTGACTTAAAGTTGGCCTTAAAAACTGCATATTGTTTTTTTAAAAATGCACACAGAGGAAAGATCAATACTCATTAATTTCGGCCAAGACCTGCAGAAATATTCAGTTTTGGTTGTATGTTCCCGAGTTAATAAAATAATTGTCTCTGATACTTTGTTGCTTTTTTTGGTCTGATAATGCTTCCAGGAAGTGTTGACTTTCTATAGCTGAAAGACAATTGAAACCAGACACAGTCGATGTATTTTATGGGTTTCATCTTTTTTCATACAAATGATTAAAGAAAATAAATATGAAGGCAGGGTTACTGATCTGTGGCTTTTCAGAGGTGCTTTAATACACAATTCAATCATGTATTTCTTCCTCTAACTGTTGAGACATTCAGCCCTACAAAGATCAAAAGAATGATTTATTTAGACATTTTAAGTTTCTTATATATATTTTTCTCTTTTTAATGTGGAGATGTTAAAAAGCAGTTGAAAATATGCTCTTAATTTCTTTTCAGAAACAAAGAACTCTCAGAAGGTATGGTGCTAAAGTAACTCCCAGAAGGTATGGGGCTCAGACCAAATATTTGTGTCAATAGGAAGTTCTGTTTACAGGGTAATTGTTTTCAATCCAAAGCCAGGTTGTCTCCAGGGCATTAGTCACTACCTTCTATAAAGTTAGGCCACGAGGGTATTATTTGGAACTCCTAGTCTGACTGGGCTTTATATACATAAAAGTACTGCTGATAAGTGTTATTGCTGGTGGCCACTAAATAGTATCCTCCTTACTTGAAAGAGTTAATATAGTTTCCTAAGTGCCTCATTAAAAAGGCCCACTGCAGACTTCCCTCTCTGCAAACATCTTTACAAATCCATAAACCTGATTTTGCTGAATCCCCTCATAAGGAAGGTTAAGTGAAAACAAAGCTCAGATAAAAGAATTTTATAGGCTTAAAGCCAATGTTAAGAATCAAATAAGTTGCAAATCTTCCCTGTTGAGAGAGGTTTAAAAATAATAAATTACAATATGTATTTGTAATTCATGTGTTGATAATTTTAACATATTGTTCTGCAAGAGGCAGCCCACAGATATCAACCAGAATGAAGGGAAAAAGAGAGGCGACGCAGAAAGGTAGGCAGGATGAAATTTTATTTCTGTACTCAGCACTCAAGAAAGAGGTGAAGTATCTTAGTGTATAATAGTAGATTAGTGAAGATTAAGAAGGAGGTGGTGCATGCCAAGAAGTTTGTGTTTTCCCAAAGGATGCAACACCCTACCAGCCAGCTCTGATGCAGGGAACAGAAGTGGGTGTGGCTGAGAAGAATTGGCAGAACGAACTTATATCCATTCTTGTTGGAATGAAGTCTATTTTGGTTTTAGGTAAAAAGCTCTGGAGGAAAACAATAGGAACACTTTCTACCATGTGTTTTGGTGAAAGTTAACCAAGTTGTGACATGTGATGAATTCTCTTAATTAAAGCAAAAAAGCAATCAGACCCATTTTTGCTAAAATTTTTCAGATTTCTGTAGCTTCTTTCAATTTTCTGACCATGTAGAATTGACACTCAGCTGATAAACTGTTCTAGTTTGAATGAAATAGCACAGTGTTTCTGTTCAAAATAAAAGGGGAGAGGGGTAAACTTCCCAAAAGCCATACTTAAAGAATAATTGTCTCAGTCAAATATTGAAAAAAGTTGCTTAAAATACATATATCTGGTAAATACTTGTAAGACATGAATCAATGTCATACTTCATATCAGTCTGTCTTAACATGTCTAGTTTGCCAAAGTAGCAGATGCTTACAAAAATAATAATTAAGCATTATGGAAAGTCACCATGATGATCACTTTATATTAACTTTTCTATTATCATTGATATTAATAATAATGTCTTTCAGATTTGCTTGAACCTGTATCTACAGTCTGAATTCTCAGATGACTTCTTCACATTCCATGTTGGTGGTGAAAGTAATCCGGAGATAAGATAGTTTGCAAAATAATATTTTTGGCAAAATTAAGTAAAAATTTTGCATTCTTTGGTGTCTTAATCTTATTAATAACTACTGTTTATTGAAAATGTAGTATGCCAAGTGCTTTATTTATATCTAATCCTCACAACAGCCCTGCAAGGTAGCTGAGGTATTATCATTAATGTCCCTTTTTAACTGGTGAGGAAGTTAAGGTATGGGTTAAATGATTTGCCAAAAACACTCCATTTGCAAAGGGCAGGGTGAAGATTCAAACTGTTGATATAGACATAATGCAAGGTCCCTTTTATAGAATGTAGATGAAATATTTCACTTATGTTCTTAAAATCACATAAGCAGAAAGACAGCTTAGAGTGGAACTAATATTCTCTGTTACAATCTGGTGATTTACTTTCTACTGGAGTGTTTCCACTGAAGAAGGGTTCTTGCCACTTAATAGGCAGTCTATTCATGCTGGAAAGAATTATTAGAGAGTTTTGTTCATACTCAGTCAAATTTTGCCTCTCTGGAATGTTCTTCCATTCATTACAGAACTTCCTTCTTTAAAGCAGTGTTAAAATTCAGATTCTAATTCAGGGATGGAGCTTGAGATGCTGCATTTCTCATAAGCGCCCAGACAATGCTAGTGCTGTTGGTTTCTGAACCACATTGTGAGGAGTGGCTCTAGTACCACCTACCTCCATCCAGTCAATCTAATAGCTATCAGACAATTGATACCTAAATCCTTTGTTTTCCCACCAGGTTACAGCCCCATCCATTCAGTGCTTGCACCTTATAAGATAAGTTTACTTGTTTAAAGTCCACCTTGAAGCATATTCATGATGTAACCAGACTGCAGTAGACACCAATGAGTCTGTATTTTCTGAGACTATAAGCTTTAAGTAGACTGAGCACACTGGTCTTTGTAGTAGCCAACAACACAGAATGAGCTTATGGTTAGGTAAATCGATCCATCTTTCAAATACCAGGTTCTTAAACTAATTTGTCACTTTCATCCTATATTCTTACTTTAATTTTGTGTATTTTTGGACTAGGTAAAAGACTACAGTTATCTCTGTAGAATTCTATCTTGTTGGCTGTAGCCTTCCTTTATACCTTGAATTCGTCTTATTAAAGACATTAGGGTTCCAATTTTGTATAACTCTAAACTTTATTAACCTACATTCAGAATATTAAAGTATGTATTTGATAAAAAAAATACAGACACAGAGACACAGAGACACCACAAGAGATGCCCTTCATTTATTAAATTCCTTTTAACTATCATTTCACCAACTATAAGCCTACTAATGTGTAAACTGTGATGACTATTAGTTACAGTTTTTACGCATTTTCTACAAGAATATCAAGACAGAGCTTACACTCGTACAACATTTCTCTTCACCTTTTTCTTTATCTTCTTAGAGAGGATTTTGTCAAAAGTTAGTCAAGACAAGAATTATCCAGCATATTTAGATGTAAAATATGGAATTAGTCCATAAAGGGAAGTCTCTTCCATTATTTTATCTTGACCTTCTGTCATCAGATTTTAACAGTTAATATAGTAGGCACTGACTATATGATTATTGGATTGTGCATTATTTAAACTACTATATTATCTTCAAAAAGTTGATCTCCCAACTTGCTCACTTTCCACTTAAAATGGAGGCAGCTTATAGGTTTGATATAAAAAATGAATAAGAATTTATGTATAGAGCTGGGTCATATTACGAATTAGAAAGATTAGCTACGATGATAGTGATGGTGACCATGATGTCTGCTATTATTCTGGAGACCCCAGTGAACCATGCTTCAATGAGGTCCTTACCCTCGTGTACTCTTGCATCTTGAATGTAGACTAGCCCTGTCATTAACTTTAACCAAAGGAAGCAGTGGAAGTGATACGGTGCCATTTCTGGGTCTAATAAACCTTAAAAAGATGTGGAAGCTTCTATTTTTGTGCTTGAGGGATGCCAGCTGTCACATAAGAAGTCTGATGACCCTGGATCACCATACTGGGAGAAGACCAACCCAGCCACACGGAGGAGCTCTTAGTCAATACCCAGTAACAATGTGCCAGCTACAGCAGTGAGGCTACTGGAGGTACCTCTCCATAATCCAGAGCCCTGCACACCTCCCTTGACCTAGCTTATGTACTCAGTCTGGGTCTGAGTTCTAGCTTTCCCCACCCTCATTCAACCAGGAACAAATCCAGATAATACATAACAGTTCACCAAATAATTTCAGTAAGACATTTTTCTTTCTGATACACATATGGAAATCATTTACTGAAAATGATTTATGAGTGTTTTGTGTTTAATAAAAATAATGTGACTAATGTATCATTTTATTTTTAAAATCACTGAAAAATTACGTAAAAGTACGAGGGCTTATCACATAGTGTGGTGAAGATAACCTCATGGTAAAACATCAAAAACTAAATTTCTCCATCTTACCATTTTATATTCTTTCCAACCTCTTTGGAAATCCAGACTTCCATCTTCACGATGCTGTATTACAGTCCAACCTCCCCCATTAAGTTCCATATTGCAAAATACCTGATAGAGATAGGGAAATCAAAGTCAGGTGAAAATTTTGTCTGCTTTAACGAAATAAATATCAAATGTTTCAAAAACAGAAATAGGATAGGTAGGCCCAGCCCACAGGTAAATTAAATAAAAATTACTATGTTGAAAAATCTTATCTTAGATACCTTATTGATTATTTTTTTATATTAGAATTGTTTCAGATAAAATTCCATCATATTACTTAAATTAACTGTAAAAATTTAAATCGGTCAGCTGAGAATGGTCTCAGTCTCAGATTATACAAGAATCTTTAAAAAGCTTTGTCTTGAATGGTAAAGGGCACTTACGTATGTTCACTTTTAAAAAATGCTATCTAGGTTTCTAAAACTACAGACCATTTGATTGCCAAAACATAAGACTCAGAATTCTTAACTATTTAGTTAATTGAAATGGTGATACAGTAATAACAGATTTGGAAAGATAATTGAAAAATCATATATATTTAGCAATAACATATTGCATTGCACATTAACTCATATACAGTTATATACTACAATCATTATTCTTGATGATTCAGTATTACATTAGAGTCAAAGTTTGGTCCACAGCATATGGAGAACATATTATTTGCTTAAATTTTTGTCATGAACAATCATAGGAGAATATGACATATTATATTCCTTTTGAGTGTGACAAGCATTTCTTCCCCCTGTGGAAAGTTAGTCAATGCTATCAAAGACTTATGCTCATTTCAATTATTCTAAAACAATAGTATTTATTTAGAACTTGATTCATTTCCCCCAGAGTCCACCCAAGGAGAGAAACGTATCTGTAACAGGATTATCTTTAGAGAGTAATCACTGTAATTGATGTAGTATGGATGTGGCATTTTGATTATTCAAGGTCCCAGCTATGGAGAACACCATTCCCCTGGCAGTTGACTGCTAATGCATTTTGGAGGCTAGCTAGGGGAATAGATATGATTCAACAGTGGCTGACAGGGCACAGTGTTAAGTCTGAGTAAAGGAAAAACCTCAAGTGTTTTCCCTGAAGCCCTCAGTTCAGAGCACAAATGGCTAATGGGTTTGAAAACAATGGCAACAACTGTCATTCAAAGGACAAATTGTCCCTGTACTTCCTCAGAGTGAAAGGAACTACTAATTTGACAATAGTCACCCATCAGTATATCTTTACTGTCTCTAAGAATTGATCCACTACCAAGATTATCAATTGAAATTCAACTCCCTGTCCCAAAGTTTCCCTTCTACTAATCCCTTAACCAATCTGTACCCACCCTTTGGCCTCAACACAATCTCTAGACAGTCTTTCCTCCTCCTCAATTCTAAATGATTCATTCACTTATTTTTTACTCATGGACATTAATTTTGTGTTACACTTGGGGATACTATAATGAAGAAAAACGATATTGTCCTCAAAATGTCTAAAAATTTCAATAGTGACTGTTCCTGTAGGCTTAAGGAGATGAAGGAGTTCATAATTTTCAACTCCGGTGACCTGAAGAATGATGTACAGTCATCTAAATAAACAATTTAAGGGAGAAGCTAACATATAAGAACAGACACATAGAATTTGAGGTAGCATAGTCATTCAAAAGGAGGGGGTGGTTTATTGATCAGCTGTGATGATCTAGTGGATGTAGACCAAGGATAAGAATATGGATAAGAGACTAAAGGAATAAGAAAGCAATCACCGATACCAATAGCATGCTTGCTGTTAAGTGCTAGTTTAAACACTATATATTATTTTCTAACTTAGCTCACAACAATGACAGAGATACGATTATTATCTCTACTTTTCAGATGAAAAAGCAATGCTTAGAGTATTTCAGTAACTTACTAATGGTTATTATTAATAAGAAGTATTGGATCCAGGATTTGAACCTTATCTCTACCTAATTCAAAATTATACTGGGAGTATTCTTCTTGAAAGCAGTAGTTGACAGCATGAAAATGGATTATTTGAAGAAGTAAGGAAAAGATGGAAAGACATGTATATGTGAGGAAAGGAGGAGGATCCAAAAATGGGCTGATGGAGGTAAAATACATCAATAACCTTTTGGTAGGCAGGGACTTCATCTTATTTGTCACTGTCTAGAACAGGGTTTAGCCTATAGCAGGTACTAAATGAATATCTGTTGAATAAACGAAGATGCAAGAAGGAAAGATAAAATAGGAAAACTTGATCAATGGAATGCAATGAAAGTGGGGTTAGATTTTGATTTGGGGAAGTGATCTACTTTATCAAATATTCCAGAGAAGTCAAGAGAAATAAAGATTAAGAAAATGCACACTTAAATTTAAAATGAAAGAATCAATAGTGACCTTGAGAAGACAGTTGCAGGATTCCTATAAGAATAAAATCCAGATGGCACAGGTTAAAGAAGACATAGGTGGTGATTCAAGTGGCCAAGGTGGAACTTTACTGGTGATAATTAATAAGAGTAAGTGAAAGTGTCAAGGAAACATTTTGCTACAGGAAACTAGTGTCATTTGTTTCTTAATTAAAGTTTTACCCTGCCTCAATTGATTAATCTAAATTTTTTTTCAGAATTTTATTTCTTAACGGACACTGACTGCCTGGAAGTTTGAAAACTGTGTTTGCAAGCTTATATACTCAGGGAAAGGAATAACTACATTTATAAATATAGGATGAGTAAACTATTCACAGTTTTGTTATTACTATTATCTATGTTATTAAAATTCTATCCACTTAAAGTTTTCTTTTATTTATTTTCATTTTTTTAAAATTTTTAAATGTTTTATTTATTTCTGAGAGAGAGAGAGAGGCAGCATGAGCAGGGGAGGGTCAGAGAAAGAGGGAGATACAGAATCTGAAGCAGGCTCCAGGCTCTGAGCTAGCTGCCAGCACAGAGCCCGATGTGGGGCTTGAACCCAGGAACCGTGAGATCATGACCTGAGCTGAAGTCGGACGCTTAACCGACTGAGCCACCCAGGCGCTCCTTAAAGTTTTAAAATCATTCAAAAATTTTAGTAAAAGAAATTTCCTTTTAGACAAATGTATTCAATAATTTGAGAATGTTAAGATAAAGACCCAGAGAGAGTCAGAACCACATGGAGGGGCAGAAGTTACCCAGGCAGATTACTGGGTTAGAAGTTGTGGTACAGGGAAGGTAAGGGGTTGGACATATGCTCTGCAATTTGTATTCTGACTCAATAATAACAGCACTGATAATAGTTGCCATTGTGGAATATGGTTACAATAGAGATGAATGGCATATTGGTTAGGGGCAGGAACCTGGGTACCAAATTGCCTGTGTTCAAATCTCCACTCTGTTCTCTCCATTGCTTAGAGCTTTGCAAAGACTAAATGAGTCAATGCATGTAGCATTTTTTAAATAGTGCCTGGCACATAATAGGCTTTGTCATTACTCTCATCTCATAGACTTATTTTACATAGGAGATAGTATTATTTACATAATGCATTATATAATATCTTACATATTATAGCATAGTTTACTATTAAATACCACTGCATATAACTTATTGTTTATAATAAGAATAATATGGAATATACAAAGTCAAAATATGTAGCAGTTTAATAAACTGTCATTATGATAAGCTTAATAATATGTTATATTAATATAGTATATATTTTATATGCCTATAATTAATATAATATAATATATAATATAAATATAATGATATTGACACCACTAAATTTTGAGCATGCTACTTCTTATTATATATCTATTTAAGAAGTTGGATTCACTCTAGCCAAAAAAAAATGTTATTTCTAGTCAGAAGAAAAACAAAAAAGCCTGTGCTTAGCAGATGAAGGAAGTTTAAGAAAATAGGTGGTTGATTTCAAAAGATTTGAGACATGAAAGGACTTGAAAAGTTCATTCGCCAATATTGTGTGGTCTGCGCTATCTGGTGGTGTCCTTCCTGGAGACAAGGGCCTTGCTACATTTACTATGCCTGCTGCATTTATTGATCATATGACTTGGGTTTAACTCTATCCAAGAAAAGATTGAACTGGCTCCTATCCCAGGCAAGGTCAAAGCTTTCAAGCATTAAATACCTTTTAACATAATACAGAGATTTAAACCCAAACAAAAAAGGGAAATTTGATTCACATAGTTCTTATGGTTTTATGCTCTATACAAGTTGGAATGATTAGGGTTGAGGATGTTAATTATTTTTCCATAAACTTAAATTAAAAAAAAAAAGGCTCAACACATTTGCTATGGTCCTTTCCCAAGAATTAGGGGACTTATAATTCAGAAACAAATTTTTAATATTTTATAATAAGTAGAATTATGATTTAATGCTTTGGATTTTTGGATGAAACTAAAATGGCTATAAAGCATTGGTTTTAAAAACTCATGAAATGAAAGAAAAAATCCTACTTCCTACTACTATGCATTAAAAACAATTCAGAAAGGAAAAATAACCACAGTCATTAGTAATACAAAAGTAAAAAATAAATACATGAATGATCTGATTCTCATATTTTATCTGCTTGAAAAATTAAATAGTCCTAGGACTCTGCCTTTGACTTCCACATCTCATTTGAAAAGATAACACTTTCTTTGCAGACATTATTTATTGGAAGGGAGTGATGTCAGAAAAATAACAATTCTGTATGCTTGCAGCTCTTACTCTGCCTAAAAGATGATCACTTCATAATAGTTTGTGTCAACTGCCTAATAGGCCAATTTTGTTGATTGGTCCATATTCCATATCTTACATATGTGAACTTTTTGTTTTATTTTTATAGGCTGGCCTTGAGTTTCATACCCTTGCTAGAGCTAGAGCCTCTGCAAGCATTAGAGAAGCAATGATTTTGTTAAGGATATCCAAAGGTAGCACTGAATTTTAGATCGACAAAGCACAATCTACTTGGAAGAGTGAACGTCCTAAAGATGTATTTTCCAAGTATTTTTATAAGATTGAGAGAATTCTAAAGATTTATATCAACATAGGAGAAGAAAGTAAGATTGTAAGGTAGAAAGGAGCAGGGTGGCTTATAATCAGAAAACGTATCAATTATATGTTAATAAACTGTCTCCTGGGTCACTCACATAGGTTCATATTGAAAAAAATATAAATGGTGCAACTTCAGTCACCACTAACACAAACGCAATTACCTTACTTAGCTTCCCCCTGCCCCGTCCACCTCCCCACCCCCGACTAAGAAATACTGTCTGAAGTTGATGCCTTTATTACAAAATCTGTGTTTGATACTATTTGATTTAGGCAGGTTATTTTTCTAAAATAGGGATAACGGGAGCACTTATCCCATAGAGTTATTGAAAAGAGTAAACAAATGAGTTTTTACATCTAAAGTGCTTATAATAGACCTGGCAAACTGCGAATGCATTTGAACTCCTGTATTGACCAGCTTCTAAAGGATACCAAGGGAAAGTCATACAATAATTTTTCTTACTAATGCCATGCTAAATGAAATATGTTTTTAAAAAAATTGCTACGCATGAAAAAGTGCAGGTTTATCAATCTAAGGTTTCCATAATAGAACAACATTACTACTTGTGAGAGGATCTGTGATCAAAAGGGGAAAGAATAAAACACGGGAAGGAACACCGAAGTCCAGAAGAAAGCCGATGCCTTTCTCCTTTCTGTTCAGTGTTCAGTCTCTCTCACTATGCTCTGCTATTTCTAATAAAACTAAAATCTGACCAGATGACATGTGAACCTCTTTCCTCAGGGGCTGATTCCATAGTGATAAAAATTTCCCTCTTAAAGGCTTATACTGATGATATTGCTAACCTGCTCAGGGTATTATTTTTTCTTAGGTCCAAACTTTAAAGTTTAACTAAGCAGATATATAACACTTGTGAATTTAATATTTTAGATTTAATTTATTCAAGAACAACCCTGAAGCTCCATCACATGCATCACATGCTATATCACATACTGTTTTTGCAGAAGTGTAAGTTGAAATCATGCTATTCTGATGAAACCAATACAAGAGTCAGCCAGTAAACTAGTGAACTGAATTCTCCAACCCACTCTTTTGTATAAATGTAAAAAGCAAATTTGTTCAAGATTATGAGTTAAGATAGTATATTTTTCTTCCACTCTAACAGGATCAGTGATTTTGAAATAGCCTGTGCACCATTTGCAACTCAAAATGCTGGTAGTTATACATGAATTAAAAGTCATGGAATGATCAAAACTTTATTTGTAATGTCCCCTCTCTGCCAAAACCTGGGGCCATGTGAGAGTACTGGGTGATAGAGTGAAAAGGATTCTGAAAGTGTGAATGTGAATCTAAAAACCTTAAAAATTGTTTTATTTTATGTTCATATATATCATAGAATCATTAGATGTCTAAAAGGAAAGTCACTTAATATATTTAACTAACTTTATTGTTATAGTCAAATTCTATTTTAATGGAACTGACAATAATTTGGGGATTCTTTTGAGTCTTGGGGAATACTGTAGGTAAAATATAGAGTATTTATGTCAGCTCCACTCTCCCCCAGGACAGTTTCTGATACACTTATACACTGCTCTGCATGCTGTGTGAGTATGTGGATGTGTATACACGCCCGTGTATGCCAACTGAATTTAAGCTTAGTATGATTTTAAGATATCAGCTAGTAAGAAGGCTTCTTATAATAAGATCCAAAAGATCCAAAATGTTCTCCCTTACAATAAGTTATCCTCTTTTCTTTACTCCCACACTTACCATTGCACCTTCACCGTCCCCCCCCCCCACTACCTTTTAATCCATGGAGCCCTTAATTTGAGTGAGATTTTGCACAGAAGCCCCAAATGAAAAACAGGTAAAACTAAACTTCTCTGGTGGGTGGCCCAGGTAGCAATGTATGGAACTCCTCCCCCCTGCCCCAATTCCCTGCCTTCCTCATTATAGAAGAGCATAAAAGGCCTCTTTTAGAAGACATTTTTGTCCAAGGAAATGGAAAAAATAAACATTGAGCTAATTTAAACCACTAATCCTTACTGAAATAAGGAGAGAGAGGGTGCTGGGGAAGTCCAGACTCTGCTCCATCAAAGGTGACTAATAACCAAGAAGACTGAATTAGACTTATTTACTGTACACTACATGGAAGTATTGATATTATCATCAGAAGGTCATTCATTCATTCATTCATTCAGACACATATTTACTGAAGACTTACTATGTGCCAGACACTGTGCTAGGTCCCAGAAAATCAAAGACAAACAGGCACAGTCTTTGCCTTGTTGAAATCTGCTGGTGAGAAAGTCATGCAAAGCTGCTTGAGGGAATTAGGAAAGGCCTTCTAAGAGCACTTGCTCAGTATCCACAGGAGATGAGGACACAGGACTGGTGATTTAGGTGGGGCAAAGAGAAGAGGGAAGTTGTTTCATCCTTCGAGCATGAAACATTACAGAGGCAGGTGGTCTTCCTGGAGCTCTGAGTCCCTCTTGGCACCTTAAGCTAAAGCTTTTACATGTCAAAGAGCATGGCTCTCCTCAAGGCTCTCCGTATATTCTGCTTCAAACAGACTGTCTCCATCAGTACATCTCCACAGTATGTTATAATTATCTGTGTAATTGTTTGTCTTCACCACTACAGTGGGTCTGTTTGTTTTATATTGTGTCCCTAGGCAGGGACTGATGAATGACATCCACTGAATATGTACTGAGTGAAGGAATGGATGAATGATTTGATGAACAAATAGGGGAAAAGAATATATAAAGGAGATATGACGGCAGGAACATAGTGTTTGCTTTAAAGTTTGCTTTGGATCCTATTCAACATACTGATGAATCCTATCATCCAACCCACTTTTTTAGGTAAACATGAAAAGCAAATCCTATCAAGATTATGAGTTAAGATAGAATGTTTCTCCCACCCTAATAGTAGCAGTGATTCTGCAAACAGCTATATGTCCCCGGCTCCCCTTCCACAGTATCTGGACTGTACATGATATGTGCCATCTGGGTCCTTGTGACTTTGAAGATTGTTCCTAACTTCCTCACGTACTTGAAGTAAGTACTGCCTCAAAATGTAATCTATGCAAGGCAAGCATTTATGAGCAATGGGGCATCCCAGGAATGAGCAGAGGATAAATAGAAAACTTTGTGGAAAAGGGATAGGAGGCGTGAGGGTGGGGGAGGTCTGCACAATAGGATTTTCATCTTTTATGGACCTGGCAAACAGTATCTTTGGGAGAAAAGAGCTCAAGCATATATATTTTCAGTTTAACAAGCTCACAAATCAATCTGATTATTCAGCAATTCAACTAGGATCTGCTTTACATCTCGTAAACAAACACTTCTGGTTTTACCTTTTTGGGCTCTGGCATATTATTAATATAAATAGTGTAGATTCCACTTTTATTAAAACCAGCTTGATATACATCTGCACAGTCTCTAAATGGTTTCTCTTCCTCTTTTTTTCCTCCCTTTAGTAAAACTGCAAAAAAAAAAAAAATTGCAATATGTGAACAAGGATATCAGTACCATTAGTACCCAAATGGGCTCCAACTATAGCTAAGCATGTCTGTATTTCCTCCAAACAAATGTCAATATTGCATTTACTCACAAATAAATCATAAAGACAATAATAGATCTGACCTGACTCAGAAAATTATAAAAGTAATGGGAAAATCTGTAGACATTTCTAACTGAACACATTTTTATCTTTTGCTTAATTACTTAATCTTATTTTTCTCTATAACTTCTAGAACATCAATTCAAGGGACAAATGACATGATGCTGTAACACCTCTAGCTGGAAATAATTATGTCAATTTTCTTGTGAAATTTCTAAAATATTCTTACCTACATTTCATAGTAAACTCCAAGATAGCATTCTTGGAGGAGGAAGAGATAAAAATTACAAATTCAAACATAAAAATACAGTATAGAAGTTTAAAATGCTAAAGTATATACTACTATTTTTATCTGGCTTCAGAGTGCTCAGCTTCTAGAAATTTTAATTTTTAAAAAAAACCCTTCAAAATAATTAGATTTAGAAAGTAGAAAAGAGCCTCTGACCTAATTTACCTAGAAAGAAAAGGGAACTGAGCTTTGCTTTTTAATTTAATGCTTGCATTTAAATTATCAGGCTGATAAAACACAAGTAAAAGAACAAAAATGAGTAAGGTTTGAAATGAACTTATATAGGGGAAGAGTTCAGTGAAGGGTAGAAGTCAAACGGAAAGGAAATTTAATTAGAGAGGCTCTCCTCAGAACTTAATTTTACTCACTGAACTTCATCCATTATGAAGTTCTCATTAATGCAATAAAAATATAAAAATGACTCATATTTAGTAGTCTTTTGCTAAAGATATACATGGCATATTTATAAAATATTTATAATTAGTATTTTCTAAAAAATACATATGCTAGTAATTTGTTGCCTTAACCCTTTCAAGAAGTTTTTTAAGATTATCTTATCATCTTACCCTTAAAGTCTCATGTTATTTAATAAATACCTGCTTTCAATCACTTTGAGTCATGATGGCCTTTTATAAAAAGAATATCAAAGGTAAACTATTACACACTGTTTTAAATTGATTTTACATGCTCTAACAATCTAAAATACTGGCCTGATTCAAATGTAAGATGCATGAGTTTACTAATTTATAGGTAATTTACTAATTTATAGGTAATTATAGGTAATTAATTAGGTAGTCTAAATTGGTGGAGAGAATGACTATTTCAATATAAATACTTCAAATTTTCAAAAATAACTGTATTTCAAGAAAATGAAATATCCACTCAGATATACTGTCATAAGAAATATATAGAATTATAACTTGTAATAATGTCATGGTTTTCTATAGATCTCATGCCTACACTGATGGTTTTGCCTACTTATATAAATAATTACAGCTGCAATATCAACACAGAATAAGTAATCAGAAGACTACACATTCATATGACAGTGAAGAAGCATTGCACAGAATGTTTGCAAATAGCAATTTTAAAATGAATATATAAATGTTCAAAAGCCCTCCATAATTGTAATGGCTGTGTTGATGGGTTATGTAAAGGTATTATTGTGAAAAACCATCAATGCAGTTCATCTGTGCTTGCTTATTTTAAGGACTACTAAACAAAACCTTAAATTCTAAATGTTTAGTCTGTTGAAACAAGTTGAAAATAACCAAATTAGATGCACAAAAAAAGGGATGTAAAGAAACGACAAATAAAATTTAAGCTCCTTTGCAAAGATGAACACAGGAAGATGTGGTCAAGAGGAATTCAATGGTAAACCCAGTTTTCTTTTTTGGGTAAGAGATGGAGGAAGTTACTTATCTAAGGAGAAAATGCTTCTCTTACTGAAAAAACTTCCTGTTCTCCGTTTCTTTATTATGCAGTGAGAATATGCTCCCTTCCCACTTTTGTCACCCGCTCCTCTTTCCTTTTCCTTCTCAGGAAGATGTGGGTGAAGAGGCCTTTGTGTGGGAAGAGGGAAACTCACAGACATTTTCAATAACAGAGAAAAAGGGAAAAAGTTGAGCATTACTTTATTTTTCTGGAAACTAATTGTATAAAAATGATGTCCCAACTATGAATACAACTATGAATATAATAAGTCTTATAACTGGAAAAATGCTTTGAGTATTCCACCATAAAAGGTACAAATAGTACTATTGTTATATTATGGATTTCTTGTTGTTATAATGGCAATATAACCTTATGAAGATATTTCATTTTCTTGAAATATGGTTTGGTATTTTTGAAAAACAGAAATGCATTCTTTCCAGAAGAAATAATTATTCTTTCCAGAAAAACTGGACTGCTTGTATTTAATTATTTACTAACTAGTAAGTATTATGCTTGGAAGCTTGATTCTGGCCATATTTTAGAGTACTAATGGATTTAAAATCAGTTTTAAAGCTCTATTCACAGACTTTCTTTGACATTTGTACTATATACTATTCGTTTGGAAAAGACCCCTTCTATAAACTACACGGTGGAGCAGTTATACATGTGTCAGAGGCAAATGTATGAATTATGTTACTCAGAACAGAGTGACTGAATTAGAGCAAGAACTTAAGAAGTGATAGTTGTTATTATTGTTACAGTAATAATAATAATATGATTAACGGCAACATTATATTGTTATCCTATCTTATAGGAGGGACACTACTAGGCTGGGGAAGGCCAGCAAGTCTAGCCAATGGAGTAGTGGATCTTCCACCCTTAAATCCAACATTATAGGTGCCTAAATATTAGGGAAGTTACAGCTGATTGGTTACATTAGGATTATATTGAACTCGCATCTCTTTGTCAAAGTTGACTAACTGGTTTATATTATTCATCAATTATATCACATCATACCATTGTTGTTTAAGTCTTAAAAAAACCCATGTAATCTAATCTTGCTGCATATATAAGCTTTATCTGAACAGTTAAAATATAAATATTACTTCAGAGCAAATGACCTATGATATATTTAATAACCCACTGCTATAGTGGTTATATATATAGTTATAGCCATAACTTCAATTTGCATGGCTAATTATTTTCTTTGTTAATTACTATAGATGTATGCCTACATAGTATAAAACTGGGCACACAGTAAACATTTTAAAACACAGAAAGATAATAAAAAGATTAATTTAATGAACATTACAAGTGTCAGAACTAAGGATACATTTTTTTAGGAGGTCTTGAGAGATTAAAAAAAATGGAAGATGATATCTCAAGAATTTATGGTAAATGACAAGAGAAGGATATGGAAAACATGGAAAAGGATATAACAAGCATCAACTGGACAGAGACAGCACCAGTGAGCTTGGAGACCTTACTGAGATGTTAATCTATTTGTCAGAGTAGTTTAACCTTTTTTAAAAATAGGCTGGTTTAAAAGCATGAATTAAAAAATTAATCTTTATATCTAAAAGTTCCTCCTTTGATCACACGCTAATTTCCTCTTCCTCTTTAATTCTTTTTTTTCTTTTTTTACAAATAGTTTAGTGTCAAATTAGTTTCCACATAACACCCAGTGCTCATCCCCACAAGTGTCCTCCTCCATGCCCATCCCTCCCTCCCCCCGAACATCCATCAGTCCTCAGTTTTTGTCAGCATTCAAGAGTCTCTCATGGTTTGCCTCTCCCTTTCCCCCACCATTTCCCCCTTTCTTCTCCCCCTTGTTCCTCAGTTAAGTTCCTCCTAATCCTCCTATACGTGAAACATATGATATTTGTCCTTCTCTGCCTGACTTATTTCGCTCAGCATAACACCCTCAAGGTCCATCCATGTTGCTACATATGGCCAGATTTCATTCTTTCTCATTGCCATGGAGTATTCCATGGTATAGATAAACCATATCTTCTTGATCCATTCGTCCGTTAATGGACACTTAGGCTCTTTCCATGTTTTAGCTATTGTGGAGAGTGCTGCTATGAACATTGGGGTCCATGTGCTCCTATGCCTCAGCATTTCTGTATCCCTTGGGTAAATTCCTAGCAGTGCTATTGCTGGGTCATAGGGGAGTTCTATTGTTAGTTTCCTGAGGAACCTCCACACTGTTTTCCAGAGGGGCTGTATCAGTTTACATTCCCACCAACAGTATAGGAGGGTGCCCATTTCTCCACATCCTCACCAGCATCTAGAGTTCTCTGATTAGTTCATTTTAGCCACTCTGACCGGCATGAGGTAGTATCTCAGTGTGGTTTTGATTTGTATTTCCCTGAAGAGGAGGGATGCTGAGCATCGTTTCATGTGTCTGTTGGCCATCTGGATGTCCTCTTTGGAGAAGTGTCTGTTCATATCTTCTGCCCATTTCTTCACTGGGTTGTTTGTTTTTCGGGTGTGGAGTTTGGTGAGTTCCTTATAGATTCTGGATATTAACCCTTTATCTGATATGTCATTTGCAACTATCTTTTCCCATTCCGTCAGTTGCCTATTAGTTTTGTGGGTTGTTTCCTTGGCTGTGCAGAAGCTTTTAATCTTGATGAGGTCCCAATCGTTTAGTTTTGCTCTTGATTCCCTTCCTTTTGGGGATGTGTCAAGTAAGAAGTTGCTGCAGTGGAGGTCAAGGAGGTTGTTTCCTGCTTTCTCCTCTAGGGTGTTGATAGTTTCCTGTCTCACGTTCAGGTCCTTTATCCATTTTGAGTTTATTTTTGTGCATGGTGTGAGAAAATCTAACAGCTATTCCAAAAAATAGAAACCGAAGGAAAACTCCCAGATTCATTTTATGAAGCCAGCATCACTCTGATTCCCAAGCCAGACAGAGACCCAGCAAAAAAAGAGAACTACAGGCCAATACCCTTGGTGAATACAGACGCAAAAATCCTCAACAAGATCCTTGCAAGTCGAATCCAGCAGCACATAAAAAGAATCATCCACCAAGACCAAGTGGGATTCATTCCTGGGTTACAGGGCTGGTTCAACATCCACAAATCAATCAATGTGATACATCATATCAATAAAAGAAAAGATAAAAACCATATGATCC